TAGAGCCTTCAAGCTGTCACTGCTCAGCCCTCTGGATTCAGCCTCTTTCCTAGGGGTATGTATGGGGGTCTACCCTCCTATTTTGCTGGAGCTGCAGCTACTTTTGCCAGAAATACCTAGTATCTAAGGTTCCAGGGTTTCCACGCATGCCTGAGCAGCTGCTCTGCCAAGACTCCACATGGTTCTGTGTGTCAGACTGAAGGCCTTAGTGGAGTGAGTTCACAAGGCTATCTCCTGACCCAAGGGTTGCAAAGATCCATGGGATAAGCATAGTGTTTCACTGTGGCACATTCACTCACTGCTTACCCAGGCAGGGAAGTTCTCCTGGCTCTGCGTTGCTCCTGGGTGCATCACTGTCCTGTCTTGCTTTTCTTCATTCTTTGTGGGTCAAGTTGTTTCACTGATTAGCTCCAATGTGAGTACCTAAAGGTTTCAGTTGAAGGTGTTGTATTTACTCACCCCTTTCATTCCTCTCCTTGAGAGCCATGCACGCTAGCTGCTTCTAGTCGGCCATCTTGGTCACTCTCTCCATATACAAATGTTAACTCAAAATGGATCCCAGACAAAAATTTAAAACCTAAAAGTATAAAACTCCTAAAACAAAATATAGGAGAAACTTTGTGACCTTAGGTTAAGCAAAGATTTAATAGGTAAGATACCAAAATCCCAATCCACAAAAGAAAATATCAACAAATTGGGACTTCATCAAAATAAAATGTTCTGTTCTTTGAATGATAATGTTAAGAGAATGAAAAGCAGCAGAAGAGGAAAAAATATTTGCAAGTCATATATATGATAATGGACTTGCATTCATGATAAAGAACTCTCGAAATTGAATAATTAAAAAATAGTCCCAAAAATCTTTTTGACACAACAACCTCATTAACCTTATATTGATTTTTTATTATTTTTGTGATAGAAACCAAAGACAACTCTGTAATTGTGTCAACTCCTGTTAAGGGCAAAGAGAGGAAAATCAGCCATGGGAGATTAAAGAATCAGTTGCTGAGCTTCTATTTGTCTTAGATAACTAGACGGGACATTTTAGCTACACAGGGTGATGAAAAGTGAAAAACAGTTAATAGTTAATAATTTATTCCACCCCACACATTTTAAGTGAAATGCTAAAGTTTTGGCCAGGCACGGTGGCTCATGCTTATAATCCCAGCTACTCGTGAGGCTGAGGCAGGGGAATCGCTTAAACCTGGGAGGCGGAGGTTGCAGTGAGCCGAGATTGTGCCACTGCACTCTAGCCTGGGTGACAGAGCAAGACCCTGTCTCAAAGAGAAAAAAAAAAAGTTAAAGTGGCTTTGAACTGTCGTTGAGGGCTTGTCAAATGAAGAAAAATGCAATGTATACTCACTATATTGCTTTTTATTTTTATTGTGTTATAATATGTTGTGGCCTGTAATGTTTCTGACTTAAATCTTAGGTTAGGTGGAGAAATTTTATATCAATGACTGTGTACAAGTTATATCATTCCTTTTTTTTTTTTTTTTTTTTTACAGAGTCTTGCTCTGTCGCTGAGGCTGGAGTGCAATGGCATAATCTTGGCTCACGGCAACCTCTCCCTCCCAGGTTCAAGTGATTCTCCTGCCTCAGCCTCCCAAGTAGCTGGGACTATAGGCACATGCCACCACACCTGGCTAATGTTTGTATTTTTAGTGGAGATGGGGTTTCACCATGTTGGCCAGGCTCGTCTCAAACTCCTGATCTCAGGAGACCTGGCCACCTCGGCCTCCCAAAGTACTGGGATTACAGGCGTGAGCCACTGCACCCAGCCATCATTCATCTTTAATGAATGCATGCACTTATCCAGAAAGTACTGAGTACCAAATATATCCTGGGCAGTAAGAGACAAAAATGATCAAGGCCAATCTTCACATCAAAGAGCTATCAGACTGGTTAAGAGGATGAACATTTAAAAAGATAGTGACAATGCAGTATAATACATGCTGTATTAGAGACACACAAAAGATTCTGCGTAGCCTAACAGAGAGAAGTTTAATTCTCCCTGGGGATGACTTAATTGGGCAGCCCTGAAATTTAGAATTTACCCTTTAGGTGATGGATGGCTATTGAAAGCTTTAAGTATAGATTATGATAGGAATTAATTTATGCTTTAGGGAGATAATTCTACATGGCAGTGTTGAAGGTGGATTTGAGAGTGGCAAGATTAGCAGCACAGATACTTATTAAAAATATATTATTGTAGTCTGGTGATAAATGATTACATCCTATATTAAGACAGCCACACTGAAGATGAAGTGCAGATGAATGTAAAAGGTATATTCCACAGGATTTTACCACAGAACAGATATGGGGATCATGACTACACTTTTTCCCAACAGAGAATTTACACAAGATTACATGATCCTTATTCCCAACTCAATCAAAAAGGTTGATGTTAATGGCATCTGGTCTTGCAAAATAATTTTCAAGTCTCATCACAATGGAAAAAGAAAACTCTGGAAGCTTACTATATAACATTTTGTAATAATATGCTTCCTAAATAAATAACTAGCCCTGGTCTTCTTTTCGAATTTTCTTACAAAATGCTATTTTAATTGAAGACTTTAAAGTTTGATATTTCATAATCAGTAGAGTAAACAGATAACCGACAGAATGGAAGAAAATATCTGCACACTAAGTGTCCAACAAAGGACTAGTATCCAGAATCTACAAGTTACTCAAATCACCAAGAAAACAATAATAATCACATTAGAAAGTGGGCAAAGGACATGAATAGACATTTCTCAAAAGAAGATATACAAGGCAGGGCACTGTGGCTCATGCCTGTAATCCCAAGATGCTGAGGCAGGAGAACTGGTGGAACCCGGGAGGTGGAGGTTGCAGTGAGCGGAGATCGCTCCACTGCACTCCTGCCTGGGGACAGTGTGAGACTCTGTCTCAAAACAAAACCAAAAAACAAACAAAAAAAAGATATACAAATGGCCAATAAACATATAAAAAGAGGTTCAACATCACTAATCATCAGGGATATGCAAATTAAAACCACAGTGAGATATCACCCTACCCCAGCCAGAATGGCCATTATTTAACAAGTCAAAAACAATAGTTTTTGGCATGGATGTGGAGAGAAGGGAACCCTTAAGCACTGCTAGTAGAAATGTAAATTAGTACAACCTCTATGGAAACCATTATGGAGATTCCTTAAAGAACTGAAAGTAGATCTATTCAATCCAACAATCACACTACTGGGTATCTACTCAAAGGAAAATAAGTCACATCAAAAAGATACCTGCACTTGCATATTTATTCCACCATAATTTGCAATTACAAAGATGTGGAATAATCCTAAGTGCCCATCAATTAATCAGTGGATAAGGAAAATGTGGCCTATATACAGCATGGAATACTATCAGCCATTAAAAGGAATGAAATAATGCAACTTGCAGCAACTTGGATAGAGCTGTAGACCACTATTCTAAGTGCCGTAACACAGGATTGGAAAACCAAAAACGATATGTTCTCACTCATAAGTGGGAGCTAAGATATGAATATGCAAAGATATACAGAGTGATATAATAAACTTTCAAGGTTCAAAAGTGGGAATATGAGAGAGGGCCCAGTGATAAAAAAAAACTACACATCAGGTACAACGTATATTACTCAGGTGATGGATGCACTAAAATCTCAGAATTCACTACTATATAATTCTTCCACGCAACAAAATACCACTTGTACACCAAAGCTATTGAAATAAAAAATATAAACTAAAGCCACTAAAAATATAATATGAAATACTAGCACACATGAAGTTGCAGAGACTGTTTTTAATTGATCTCTACCCCTTGTTATTCTCATTGGTCTCCCAGGAAGAATAAACTGTCGCACAAGAAAAATAAATAAACAAAAATAAAATTTGATATTTCACTACAGTAACAGCAATAACTCATTTGTTCAGAAGCACACAAACCCTGTTCTTCTGCAGTAATATATAACACAACAGACTGGGGAAAGTTCCTTTCAATTAGTTTGACATTTTAACCTACTATTAGAAGATCCACTCTTCTATATCTACATTCTCATCTTTGTAAAGTACTGTCAAATAATTATCTTGCCTTCACAAGTTAGTTGAATAGGTATGTTAGTTAACTAATTTTGTAGCAAGAAATTTTCATAACTGAAGGATATCCAGTATCTTATAAATGAAACTATGACCTAGTTTATATAATATAATTTCTTACCAAAATTTAAGAACTCCTCATTGAATTATTACTTAATTCATGGAAAGGAACTGATACGGCTGACAGGCCAACCTATTTTGAAGGTACTTATTTGGCTTTACATTCCCACATATAAGTAAGTGAAGGTTTCATGTGAATCAGTATTAGTACTGGAAAGCCTCAAGAATGAGACATTCTGTTCTGCAGTTATGCTTGTTATTGGAACCATTATTTAAAAAAAAAAAAAGATCATTTTTATAAACAACAACTGAAGTGTTTATATATGCCACATGGACTACTGGTTTCCTTTCTTCCCTCCCTCCCTTTCTTCTTATTGTCAGGAGTTCCTCAACAACTGAAGTGGTTTTAGCTCCAAATTGAATTTTTTGAAGGCCTTAAATCTTCATAAAAAAATAAATTTACCAAAAGATTATCAAAAGTTACTTTAAAAAGTATTATATTGATAGTAAATCTACTAAAGTTATTTATAAAAGAGAATGTCTCTGGAAATACACAAGTGGTGAGAGAAGGGAGGGGAGGAGAAGGCCTCTGAGGTAAACCGTGAAGGAAAGGTGACTGTGGGTAATGGGCAGAGAGGCATTCACTGAACTGCTCCTATTTCTTGAGGTCACTCTGGGCGAAGGGCAGTGCCTGGGGTCCTACTTGCCCGCCCAGGCACAGGCACGGAGTGAGACCGTCCTGCCCCGCCCCTCCCCCCAACCTTTCACCTTCCTTTCCAGCCCCACCCCGCTCCCGTGGCCCCAGACCTTGGCAACGCTGCGCAGCGCGTCAGTCAGCGTCAGAGGGTGTGGGGTGGCTAGAGGCCCCCGTGGCCTCTGATCTCACAGAGCGGATCCGCGCGGGTGTCCAGCGCCCCGATGTGGGCAGTAGGGGCTAGCCGCTGGGGCAGGCTGCCCCCAGCAAGAGGAGCGGCGGCTCCAAACCACAGAATCTCCAACACTGGAAAGCGTGGCCTCGGTCACCCTAAGCCACAGGTATCCTGCCGATCATCGCTTGTGGTGGAGCGCCCGGCGCCAATCGTGGTCAGTCCCCCTCTACGCCACCGTCCGATTCCCTCGGCGCCCCCGCCGACCCCGGAGCCGGCCCTCAGCCCCTTCGTCAGCCGAGGCATACCCTTGCGGCCCATCCCAGCCAGGGATCACCACCGCTGCCCTCTACCAAGCGTCGGGCCGGGTACCGAGGACTGCCCGCCAAGTTTTGCGGACTATGGCCCTAAAGCTCATCCACAAGGAGTTCCTCCACCTGGCCGGCGACTCCTAGCCCCACTGTTCAGCAGGGCCAGTGTGGGACGATATGCTCCACTGGCGGGCCACCGAAACGAGACCCAAAGACCCCTCCTACCTGGGAGGGATCTTCTTCCTAAGAATCCAGTTTCCCTCCGACTGCCTATTCAAACCACCCAAGATCAAATTTACCAACGGAATTTACCATCAACATCAACGGAAATACAGGATAGGAGGAAGTATGGCAGAATAACTAGAGACTGGACTCAGTAGTGTACCATGTAATTTCAAAATATAATTCCATCGCCTTAATAATAAAGATGCAGAAAGTGACAGTTCACTTAATTGGCTGTTTTGATTACTTTCTATGAAGGGGAGTCTCATTCTTCTACGCTTTTCTTAGCACGCAATGAGTGGAGGGCATAGAAGTGGTGGGGTTCTGGGGGTTGGGGACAGGGGCGTGCACGGTTGGTGGAGGGTGTGGCCGAGTGGGAAGTCAGGGTGTGTGGAGAGTGTAAGACAAACAGGTCGGTTTTCATTTAGTTTTGACAAAAAGATTTATTTGTTGATTTAGGATTGTAAAACAATGCAAGAACAACGGGGTGGGGGGGTGGCTTTAAGATTGAGAACAGTTCCACTGACTAGTGGGAATTTTATTTATTTATTTATTTATTTATTTAAGACAGGAGTCTCGCCCTGTCGCCCAGGCTGGAGTGCAAGGGCATGATCTCGGCTCACTGCAACCTCCACCTCCCGAGATCAAATGATTCTCCCGCTTCAGCCTCCGGAGTAGCTGGAATTACATGCGTGAGTCACCATGCCCAGCTAATTTTTGTGTTTTTAGTAGAGACGGGGTTTCACCATGTTGGCCAGGCTGCTCTTGGAACTCCTGACCTCGTGATCTGCCCACCTTAGTCTTCCAAAGTGCTAGGATTACAGGCGTGAGCCACCGCCTCCCGCCGGGAAAATTTTTAGTGCGCAGTCTGTTTTGAACTGACATCAGTTGGGAAAAGCAAGATGAAGGTTAATAAAGCTCGTATTCATTTTATTCTGAAGAACTATTCATCCATCCGCTACTTTGAGATTCAGATTTAACTGGCCCAAAATGAAATCAATTAGTTGTTACAATAAAAAATGTGTTTTGTTCCCAGTTTCCGACAGCTCCCACACCTTCATCTCCCACCTTTTTGCCCACTCTGCCTCTCTCCCACGCCCAGGGTTGGGTTGTTTGTGACTTCTCAGGCCATACCTACTAGCTCTTACTTCTCATGTTTTCTCGAGAACCATGTAAGGTCTGAGATTCTACCCAGCCTGCAGCTACAAGTTAGCTTGTCACAGTTTGGTGGAGGCTGGCGAAATGACAGAGAGTCCTGGGTTAGAGGCAGGAGTCATACACAGCACAGCAGGCAGTGTGAGCTTCACTGACATCAGTTTCCCTTGCTCCCTCAAGTCCCAAGGAGGAGAGGTGGATCAGACCAGGTGAGTGCTGCACACATAGTGGGTTTGGGTCACAGCTAAGAGAACTTAAATTTAGGAACCCCCAGTCTTTGAAAGGGGACTACTAGCAAGCCTGCCCACCCTTTGCCTAGAGAGAGATGTTCTTATTAAGCTGATCAGGAAACAGGCAATTCTACCCTCTCCCCTGGAGGGGTTTCTAACTTCCAAGACTGTTATATACAAGTATATGTCAATAAAAATATTTGAAAAAGAAAAAAAAAATACTTTCAATATGAAACTGAGTTTTCAATAATCCCCTTTTATTCACTTAAACACAATTTTTGCGTTTCTTTTTAGTTTTTGTTTACATTCTTACAAGGAAAATCAACTATTAAATAAAAATTAGTATATCTGTAAGAAAATTTATATTTTTCTAAATATAAAAAAAAAAATTTGAAATGATAGTCCAGGACAAATGTTGTCACAAGGTGACTAGAATTATCATGAAGAATTGCACCCTGGCAGTTTTAACTGGACTATCTGGTTGTACAGGTAAAAATTAATTTTATGAAAATACTTGTGTGTAAGGAAAAGCCCAATTCCTCCATTAGAACTTGTATATTCAGGCATGGCCAATAAGTGTAATAAGCAGATTACTACCATCATCACATTTAATACATTTTGTAATTTAATCAATTACTTCATCTAATCTTAGTAGGCTAAAAAAGTTTTAATTTTCTGAAAGTAAGTTTATTCCTTAACACTTCAAATAAAAGAGAACAAGAACTACTCAGCAGGAAAAATATGTGCTTAATGTCTTACTGCTTTCATGCATGTTTAAAATAATTTATTTGGATGCTGACAATGTTATTGACATTACATTTTCAATACATGCCAAATTTTCTCTTACCTGGAGCACAGAAGAAAAAGAGATGTAGAGAAACTTCTTTGGGCTTGGCGCAGTTGCTCATGCCTCTAATCCCAGCACATTGGGAGGTCAAGGAGGGCAGATTGCTTGAGCTCAGGAGTTCAAGACCAGTTTTGGCAACATGGCGAAACCCCATCTCTACAAAAAACCAATTAAAAAAAAAAAAAAAGCCAGATATAATGGCGCGCACCTGTAGTCTCAGCTACTTGGGAGACTGAGGTGGGATGATCCCTCGAGCCGCGGGCGGGGGGGGGGGGGGGGGGGGGGGGGGGAGGGGAGGGGGGGGTTGAGGCTGCAGTGAGCTGTGATTGAGTTACTGCAATTCAGCCTGGGTGTCAGAGTAAGATCCTGTTTCAAAAAAAAAAAAGTCTTTGCATTTATTTATTTATTTTTTTAAAAAATTAATTAATTAATTAATTTATTTATTTATTATTATTATACTTTAAGTTGTAGGGTACATGTGCATAACGTGCAGGTTTGTTACATATGTATACTTGTGCCATGTTGGTGTGCTGCACCCATCAACTCATCATTTACATCAGGTATAACTCCCAATGCAATCCCTCCCCCCTCCCCCCTCCCCATGATAGTCCCCTGTGTGTGATGTTCCCCTTCCTGAGTCCAAGTGAACTCATAAGTCTTTGCATTTAAATTTGTTAATTTGTAAATTACACTAAATCTCACTTGAGAAAATTTTGTTTCTAAATGAGACTTTATAAACTCTTTTTTGACGTGTAAAAGTTAACTTTAGTTTATTACCTGTGATCTACTCTTTTTAAAGGGCAGATGGAGGGATGAAGGCAATACTGTCTAATAAAACTTTCTGCAATGACGGAAACATCCTATATCTACACAATCCAAATACAGTAGCATCTAGCCATGCATGGCTATTGAACATCTGAAACAGAGAGAGAGGGAGAATTTTGTTTTTACCTAGTTTTTAGTAAAAGCTTTATTGCAAGGTTTGCAAACTACTTTTTTTTTTTTTTTTTTTTTTTGAGACGGAGTCTCCTTCTATCGCCCAGGCTGGAGTGCAGTGGCACGATCTCAGCTCACTGCAAACTCTGCCTCCTGGGTTCACACCATTCTCCTGATTCTCCTGCCTCAGCCTCCCGAGTAGCTGGGACTACAGGCGCCTGCCACCACGCCCGGCTAATTTTTGTGTTTTTAGTAGAGACGGGGTTTCACCTTGTTAGCCAGGATGGTCTCAATCTCCTGACCTCCTGATCTGCCCGCCTCGGCCTCCCAAAGTACTAGGAGGACAGGCGTGAGCCACCGCACCCGGCCTGCAAACCACTTTTTAACCTTTGTATTTTAGATTTTACATGCCACCAAGAGATCTTTACAAAATGTTTACATTATGATATGTAACTATAAAAAAAGAATAAAGTTTATCTCCATGTCACTAGAGATCATTGATTTAGTAGAGAGTTATGCTATGAATATGTTTAATATTTGTAGACTGTTGAAACATTACCACTTAAGAAATTTCTAACCAAGAAATTCAAAATGTGAGTCTGTTCCTAAGAAGCTAATAGAAATTTTTATTGTAGAGATTATGTATGTAGGTCATCAATAATGATAGCCAGAATTTTCAGAATATTAATACAATGATCTCACGCTATTATGATCTTTTCCTATTATGGTCCAATTCACAGTTACTAATTATATTGCCTTTATTATTTTGCTTCAAATACCATATTTTCACCATCAAAATCAAACCCACATAATAGTAAATATTTGGGGATAAACAATAAAATCTAAGCAGGACATTATGAGACAGTCAAAACGCCATAGTAGGATGGCAATTCTATTTCTGATTAGAATATTTAACGTTCTTTTTTATTCAAAATGGTTACTCCCATCTTGCTCTGTTAGTCTCTACCCACCAGTTCCTCGATTTCAGTGAAATCAATTATGAAATGTTAAAATTTGTATTTGGATTAGGGGAGGGAAAGATGATTGTATTCTATTGTCAGTATTTTCAGAAGCAGAATGACTGAGCCGATTTGGGGAAAAGGTTCTATCCTAGGCATCAAAAAACGTAGCTTTTGCCGCATAGAAACTGCTAACAGATACTCTACACGTAAAATTGAGTACTTTCAACGTATTAAATGTTTGGCATGCTTTTTAATATCACGTTTTATGTGTATTAGGGGTAAGAAATTATGACTGTGTCTTGCCTCTATAGATACCATCAGGGCAAGTGAATTCAGTTTGAAAGTTAGACCCTGAACAAGGATAATCCAGCTTATATTATTAGCATATATAAAAATATTTAGCTAAAAATATTTAGCTTTCTCATGTTAGGTATATGAAAAGCATAGCAAATATCCAACCATCCATGGTATAGCTTTCTTTCATCTCATGATTAGAAAAGAGTTTCTTATATAATTTACACTGGCCTCAAATCATGATCTTCACTTGTTTTGCGTTTATACTGTGAACAAAAAGAGTCAAGCTCTGTAAAATATTTGAAGAGGTTTATTCTGAGCCAGATATGAGTGACCATGGCCTGTGACACAGCCCTCAGGAGGTCGGTCCTGAGAACATGTGTCCCAGGTGGTCAAGTTGCAGCTCGGTTTCATATATTTTTATAGATGCATGAGATACCAATCAAATGCATTTAAGAAATACGTTGGTTTGGTTCAGACAGGTGGGACAGTTCAAAGTGGGGGCTTCCAGACAATAGGTAAATTTAAACATTTCCTGGTTGACAATTTGTCGAGTTTGTCTAAAGACCTGGGATCAATAGAAAGGAAATGTTCATGTTAAGATAAAACATTGTGGAGACCAAGGTTCTTTTAAAATCTTACAGTGGCTGCCCTTAGAGACAATAGATGACAAATGTTTCCTATTCCGGTTTTTAAAGGTGGTAGTCTCTTGGTTAATCTCTTTAGGATTAGAAGGGCCTGGAAGAAAAAGATCTAGCTATGTTAATAGAGATTCTTTACAAATGCAGATTTTCCCCCACAAAGGA